ATAATTCACAAATTTAAATACATCAGTTAAAGTATCATGAAAATGAAAATGTCGTGTATGTATTTTATCTTTAATATACACATTTTTTATACAACATATATTTTATGCTTGGCATTCCATAGGGTTCATTTTATCTCAAAACTAGCAGAAGTGGTACCAACAAGATATAATGCTAAGATATTTAATAAAACTGTCAATCTTCAGTTTGGTTTATAACTACTCCCAACTGTTGCAGAAGGTTGAGGCCATATTGTCTTTGAAACAAATGCAACTGTCAATCATTTTATTTTATGCATAAAATGACAGTGTATAATATTTTCACACTTATGCTAGGAGAACAATATACAGGGTGAACAATGTTTTAACATACAGTATATACAGGAACAACAGGGCTGCAGGTGCTGCAACATACATTGCTATTGACAACAGTAAGCACAATCACACATGGGTTGGGTGAAAGCCAGAGTTGTAGTACTCACTGTGGGTGGAATTTTTTTTCTTTTCATTTCTTCCCTAATCTATTTGAATACATGTTACAAGCATCATATAACAGTAACATGGAAATTGCAAAGTCCATCAAACAAAGACTTGCAAGCAAATGATTCAAGTATATGAATTAAAAAATGCACTTACATATTACAGGACTAGATAAAATTTGCTGGAAATCATAAATCACATATAAAATAAATTTGTAAGATGGTACAAGATTTATACATGCAGTATGTAAAGTGGCATAGAGTATATGGTGCTTAAAAAAAAATACACCTCAATAACACTAAGAAAGTGTTGTAAAAACATTTCACTGGTTACAGTAAATTGTGCATAACTCATTGTATAGTAGCAAGTTCTCAGGCTCACCGAGTTATGCTAGAGAGCAGATGTAGCATATTAACACACTCCTCTATTGTCCAAGAACAGCAAAATCAGTAAGTCATTAGCCCTGACATGCATCTATATGTTTATAGGTAAGTTTTTGATAATGTATTAAATATAACATATTTATTTATTTACACATATCACATTTGGGTTTCAAAAATTAATATATATATTTATATTTTTACTCAGATAATAGAGGGTTGAGTGAACAGCTGTTGGCTAAGACCTATTATTGGCATGGTATACATATACAGTATCTAGCATTAATCAAACATTTTGTTTTAACCAATAATATTACCAATCAGCACTTTATCATATTTATTCCAGAAAAAAAGCTGGAAAAGCAATATAGAGGAACAACATATACATGAAATAGTGAACTATACATATTTAAAAAATAATGAAAAGAGGAAATTTCAATGCTCTTCTTTGTATATAGCATTTCCAGACACTACCAGTACTGGAAAAGGGTTTGATTTACTAACTCTGCCCACACTAAGCTGCACCGCTGTGCTGCACCCACAGAAGTAGAGCATTAATTGCCTTACAGCTTGGTTCTTTCCTTTACTTCAATGCCTTGAAACCCATGTGATGAAAGCTGGACTTGTTGCAGTGCTGTCTGACCCTCTGCACCCAAACTCAGCAGTCCTCGCCTTGCTGCTTCCCTTACTTCCCCACTGGAATCGTTTTGTTGCAAGAACGACAAAACCTCGATGGGGTTGGGCCATTCAGGGGTTCCTTCCTGACTTGCTGAGGAATGTTTCTTGGCTTTGTTGGAGCTCTTGCTTGACCTTTTTGAATCAGTCTCTTTATTTTCTGTGTTTAAGGGGACAATTGGTGCTAATACACCCAGCAGGACACAGGCTGCCTCACGGTCACTTGTACGGCCAGATTCCAAGAGCAAGAGACACAACTCGAGAATCTGAGAAAGGAAAATAAATAATTTAAGTAACCCAAATACTTAAATTTCACTATCCATTTTGTTAATAAAATAAATATACAGCTTGATATATTTATTACGACAACTTTTTACCATGCGGAATGAGGTCAAACTTACCATGTTCATTAGTTGGTTATCATGGGCAAGGCCATTTACGAAGTTGGTTGTAACATGGCGCAGCTCAGATGGCCCTGCCAGCAGGTGGCCAATAATCTTGATGTGGAAGGTAGTGGGTTCTTTGATTTGTTGCAGTCCAGCTTCCACTCTGCAGGTACAACATTCAGAGTAAGGATACACATTATATACCCAGTTGATGTTTCATCCAGACTTTTCTTCAAAATCCTTTCTATTTCTTTTTTTGTATTAAAAAATAGGATACTAATCATTGAAAAAGGAAAATTGGATACTAATCATTGAAAAAGCTAAAAATGACAACAAAAATACCCATGTTACAATGTTTGTCTAGTTGTAATATTTATTTTATGCATTGGAAATATTTGCATCAATAAATTTATAATGAAAAAGATACTTTGGAATACTTACTTGGCTGTGTTTGCAGACAGCAAAAGATCAGCAATTGCAAGATTGTGTGCTGTAGCTGGCACAGTGTGCTGAAGAGGCCTATGCAGGTGTTGAAGGAAGTGGCCAACAGTCACTACTGAATTTCCATCATATTCTTCACTATCAGTCATTGATCGTACAATGTCTTCCAGCACTGAAAATACAAAATAAAAGTGCTGTTTAGCTCATACATACACACATGAATACATAGAAACAAACATGCCAAGTCCCATTAACATTATCTGACTATGGGATCAGGCTTAATAAGTATTGCCCATTTAGCCCCTGGCTTTGGTGTGCTAACAGGGAACCTAAAGCATTCATTGTCCAGATCCTACAATTAATCTTTTTTTTTCATATAATGAGGATCTATAATCAGTGATCTTGTCAGCAGTTTTCTTAATTACTATCATAATCACCATCATAGAAAAAAGGGGGGGGGAGGAGCCAGTCTAGATACAACAAATCCAGGGGAGTGTACTTGTAACCTAGTGGTAGTGATAGTAAAGGCTGCCTGGGTTTTACTGATGAACACACACACATGCTCTCACTCCGAAGTATAAATAGATGCACTTACCTCTTCTTGCTAAACCTGGTACTGTCGGATCCACTAAAGTTGACACGAGCTGCTGTAAACCATTTACAACTGCTTGTCCTTGGATACACCAATCATCTCCTCCAGACACAGAGTCCCAAAGAACCTGAATAGATCCATTTTATTTAATTAAATGAATTGCTGTTAGTTTGATAAATATAATTTCTTAATAAAAATAATTTAAAAACTGAAAACACTTGGTCTCACTTTACTGTAAAGCCTTAAATTACCATCATAAAACACAGTTCTGAAGCGTAAACATTTAAAGCTCAATTAGTAGGTGTAAAGAAAATTTATACACATCCTGAGATACTTTTTAACCCAATGTTGTGTTCACTTAAGTTTTGTTTTGTTAAATGTTTCTGTACATAGAAGGCTCCGCCAATGCTTAGCCACAAAGGAGTCAATTAGTAGATCTTGTGACTTCACCTTTCCTTGAAATAGTGAGAAAATACTCTTTACTAATGCTATCAAAATTGTTAAAAACATTATAATTACTATATTATCAACATTAACACCAGTATTAAATACTAGATAACATTATTGAAAATCAAGGATAGGAGTAAACAGGTGAGACAGGTTGTTCTCGTAATTGGCTCATTGGTGACTTAGTACTTGTGGAGCCATCTATATGTAAAAACAATTACTCAATTAAACATACTGTGGCCATGGCATATATATGCATGCGGCAAGTGGTTAAGCTATATGCATATGAACTACTGACCTGTACATGTGGAACTGTGATAATATGCTGTGGTTTAAGACTGTCAAAGTTGTGTCTATGGGCTAAAACTCTAGCTACAAGTTGCCCTTCATTCTCTAGGAGCTGTAATGAGTGTCGTTCTTTGCTCCTGAGGGGCCCAAATGATCCAAGATGCTGTGGAAGCAATGGAACAGTAAGTCATTTATAAAGGATTTTGCATGGTTTCTCAAATCTCAGAGTAAAGAATTACAAATACTAACTTATGCATTTTTTCCTTTTGATATGAATTATAGCAAGTGTGGATACAGGAATCAGAAACAAAACAGAAAAGGGAATAAGATTTTCCTCAGTCCACAGATTCCCAAAATGAAAATGTTAACAAATAATACCACTTCACTTTGTCCATCACCAAGATGATAAAGATACAATTACCCTTACCTGCAACAACTGAAGAGCATGTTTCAGATGAGTGTAGAGGAAAGAATCCAACTGAGGTGTTCCAGTGACCAGAGGTTGACTTGTGTCTGGTAATGATGGACCCGCAAAGACAGCCGCTGCTTCTTTTTTCTTCTTTTCCTCACATGCCTGATGAGAACAAGCCATATGGGTTTACTAAGTGATGCATCTCTTGCAGGAGGATATCAGTAGGTTTTATTGGCAGACATCATCAAGAGGTTTTATCCACTTGTATCCAAATGGGTTAATTAAGAAAAATCACACAGTCTTCAAATTAGAAAGTTTAATAAAAAAAAGCCTTCTAGGTATTTATTTGTTATTATTATATTTTATAAACTAGATTTAGTATTAATAGTTGACTATGGAACAGTTTATCAATCTAAGCCTTAAACTATCAAATTTACTAATAACAGTCAGCAAGATGATTTAGAACTTACATCTGGATTATCATCTTCAAAATCATCATCACATTCAGCATTAAGGAAGTCGAAGCATTCTAACGCAGATTCAACTGAAAGGCTAATTTCGGAAGTGTTGCTGTCACGTCTGCTTCGGCAATTCTGAAATTTTAAGATTGGGGTAAATTCTATTTCATTTAACTAATCGGAAACTGGCATACACTTAATGCAAATGACTTGACAAGAGTGTACTATTAGAAAATATCTTTGGCAAAAGTGAAACCTATTTCTGATAATAAATGGTATTAATGTATCAAGTCTTGTGTTGAAAAAGTACTGTCACTTTAGTTATTCAAATTCCTTCTGGTCCTTTGTGCCTTTAGAGGCATCTCAATGCAGGAGTAGGACTTCAATAGTAAGATAACCGAGTAAAGATAGTCCAATATCACTGTCACATTTCTGAAAGCATGCTGAATGTTTGGTGCAATATAACATACACATCCTGAAAATATAATTTTTTACTTCTATCTACTGAAAAATGGCAAATAATTCTGCACACAGACACTTCAAAAATTTTCAATGGCTTAAGCTGCCTTTTATTCCAAATGATGATGCCACGATGCTGCTACATTTTTCTTTCTACAGTCTCATTCAGTTTATAACATATTTTGAAAAATACCCGGGTATTCTTCCCTATTTCTTCCATTATATTTCCATGAATGCCTGCCCACTCAAACAGTTCAAATAAATCTATACAGAGCTGTTCCACACATTGTCCTTATTAGCAACAGAGGACTGTATTACTGGTTCCCACCTTATATGGCATAGGGAAGTTTTAAGTTGAATATTACATGTTTGTTGTTCATTAACTTGAGGCGATATGTACAATCAAATTAAAGTTTTTCAAATTCGTCCATGGCATAATTTAAAAAATTCAGGGTACTCAATTATCAACTCTATCCTGATTACCTAAAAGAATTTGCTCTCTCCAATCTACTGTTAAAAATTATAAAGCAGCAGGTCATTTTAGTTATAACAGCAAGGTTCACCACACAGATGATGGTATAATTGACAAAAGATGCATGATGGAATTCAGGGTTTCTTAGGTTCTCGTTCATGTAAGGGATTAGGTTTTATTGTCATTCAAGAATGCCTTCCTGTATCATATAGTAAACTTGTTCTGGATCCTCTAACAATCTTGAAGGATGTGGTACAACCATATCAAACAAAAAACAACAAATTATTGTCTTATAAACAAGCAAAAGCATGAAAGATAACAAACACTTTACAAACACTCATATAATTCTCAGCCTTCATTATAGTAGCTTTAACCATGCCATATGTTTCTTTGTTTTTTCTTTAAACTCTCAAAATAAACAGGCATTGCCTTAAATTTCAGCACTAAAAGAATAAAATAACCAACTTTCTTACCCTGCACATATCATCCAGTTCCAGGACAGCCTCCTCCAAAGTATGAAGCTGTGGAAATTGTCCCTGGATGTCTTCTAAGCAAGTCCGCAATCGACTTACAACCTACAAAATCAAAGTGCATATGCATAAAATGCAATAATTCAAAATATTTTTCTATTCAGGTTATATGAAAATTATAGTGTTCTGTTTCACATTTAGCTGACCCTTCCAACTCTGACACACCAATATCTAAGTACCTTTTTAAGAGTAAGAGGTGGGTTGGCCTCATCCCAATGCTGCCCATCCCCCCACCTTAGTGACTCAGGCTCTGTGCCGAGCAGGTCCAGTTGGTGAGAAAGGGACTGGGACATTGTGGGAGAGAGACCAGCTGAGTATGAGGACATGTGGGAGAAGGATCGAGACATCAGATCCATGTTTGAACCCTGAGAGATGCTGAACTGTGGAGACAGAAAAGGAATGATGAGTTATTAAGTTGTAGGTTTCTTGATTTAGCTGTCTGCTCCTCTCCACAAGAATAACATGGTCAGCAGTATTAAAGAAGTACAGGATAAACATATCCCCTACTAGTATATAATAATTAAAAGTGGACCTAACTGTTTATTTTTTGCTTATATGTTAATAGAATCCCTCAAAATATCTACAGCTATAAGACTAACCTGTGAGTATCTGGCCCACTGCTCAACACGGCTCTCCTTCTTTCGTACAAGAGTGAAATTTCCAGTATTGTCACACTGTGGGCTGGCTGAATCTCGCCCATCAAAAAGAATAGAATCCTGTAATACCACAAAATAATTCATCAGTTTCTCTCTCTCTCTCTCTCTCTCTCTCTCTCTCTCTCTCTCTCTCTCTCTCTCTCTCTCTCTCTCTCCTCTCTTCTCTCTCTCTCTCTCTCTCTCCTCTCTCTCTCTCTCTCTCTCTCTCCTCTCTCTCTCTCTCTCTCTCTCTCTCTCTCTCTCTCTCTCTCTCTCTCTCTCTCTCTCTTCTCTCTCTCTCCTCTCTCTCTCTCTCTCTCACTCTTCTCTCTCTCTATTCTCGCTCTCTCTCTCTCTCTTCTCGTCTTCAAAAAAAAAAAAAAAAAAAAAAAAAAAAAAAAAAAAAAAAAAAAAAAAAAAAAAAAAAAAGAGAGAGAGAGAAAAAAATACATCACTATAATTTCTCCAACAACCTACTCAGCAACATATTCAGCAAGTTACCTGACTGTCTGTTCTCCTTGAAAGTCCCTGGTAGTCAGAGACAGGACTGTTGCTATCTGTTCTTGTAGACAAAGCAGCGTGAGAAGAGAGCAGACCTCGATATTCAGACAGTGGACTTGCACTGTCTGCTGTTGAGCTACGTGCAGACATACTACCAAAACTGCTATCGTGATCACACTCTGGGGACAGACCGCTGTCCTTGCCGGAGGGAACCTACATTCACAAAAAACATAATTTATTCATCATTAAATGACACTCAGGAAATCCAGTAAATAAACCGATTCCAAATAAATAGGCAATTAAAAATCAAGATTTATAACAATATTTATTATCACTTACACTTCCAACAGTGTGTGGAGGTGATGAGCTGAGAGTGTGCAGGACTGGAGTTCTGCGCTTATTGCCGGGTGATGTAGCAGACATGCTCGGTGTTCTGACCAAGGTGTCCTCAACCACACCATCAAGTGGGCTAATGATAAAATGGTTTTACATTAAAAGTCATAATGTCTATGAATTACAGAAGGGCAAAATAATTCCAATATATGAACAATCTGCAAAACTAAGGGAAAAATTATTACTCATAATCAACTTATAATTCAATCTATAGGATATTATTTTCACAAAAATGATTCCTAAATAAAAATATATACGTTATATCTACCCAAAATATTTCTAATGAAGCTAAAAAGGTTTTGGCAGGAACTCTAAACTTAAATTTCAGGAACTCTTCGGTATTATGAACATTTTTATATGAGTGTGTGATGAGGTGATACTAATTTTTGATGTGATAAAATGATGGCATTATAATAACAGAAAAGAAATTATCAATCTGCATGTAACAAAACGCGTATATTACATACTCACTATATGCTAAAAGTTTAAAATAAATTTCTGGTCCATATAATGATTATTGTAACTATTGTAGCAAGACAACATTACCTATAACCTCTAATGTCAACTATGGTAGGGGTACAAATTGCAAAGCATTGCACTAATTCTTGAAGAATGAACTTTCTTCTTCTCTTGTTATACAGATCCATTCCCATATCTTATGTTCTTCCATGTTACTGATCAATTATTATCAGGGAAGTGTCTATGCAATATGCTGTATTCAACCTCTAAAAGCACAGACCACTTTAAGACCAGTGCATAATGGTAAAAAAAATAATAAAGAGAACTGCCAATATTACTCCCAATCTGACCTATGACCAAGCCTTTGTACTTTCAAAAGCTCAAGCGAAGAAAGAAACTTGGGAAAAAAAAGTATCATCAAGTGCCTTTGCCAAGACTTTGACGTCCTGTACTTACTTCCACGTAATAACAATGTTGAGTTTAAGTGAGCCAGAAGGATTAAGGTTGACAGTCATGAGTTGTGGATGTGGTGAGAAGAGGTCTTTCGTCTCACACACCTTGTTGCCTATCACAACCGTCTTACCCAAAACTCGAACTTCAACTGCCTTTATAAGCAACTGGAATAAACAATTAGTGTGAAAACCATCTTGTGTTTAAGTCTCCCTAATACTGTACATAACCTAAAAATGAAATAAATATGAACAAGCACACCAATTCAAAAACAAAAAGAAATGAGAGATGGCTTCGTCTACCCTGTCAAGGGTATTGCTAAACACTTATTCAACTACTAAGAAAATATCATTCAAAAATCTAATGTAGTTTTCTAGGTACTACATGTAATAAAGAAGCTTAACCATAAATGATAACAATCAAATCTTGAATATAAATCTAGGAAAAAGGAAAAAAATTAAAATTATCATTAAATTCTTAAACAAAATGGTGGGATTGCCCATTCATTTCCTCATGCTTTAATCACTGCTTTCTTCCCAAGAACTTACCATTTCCCCAATAAGTCCCTTGATGACTGTCCTCTGGTTATCCCATGTCTGAGAGTTGTCCTTGCACACTCGTCCACGAGACTTCCACTTCTGTGTCCCATGCTTTAGGGTTACTTCAAACACGTCTCCTGGACATAGTCGTGCAAAACCTTGAATACCTGCAAATGTAAGCATGCCATTAGAGGCTCTCATTCCTGGTTATCATTAGAGCTATGCATGGTTTAGTTATAAGAAATAATAATTATCTTTTAAAGAATATTTCATTCAAATTGCAATTTCTCTCTCATACTCTCTGTCCAAAGAATTTTTTTTTTCTCTCTAAAGTTCCACATTCATTCAACATGAACACTCATATTTCAAGAAAGGAAAAAGCTATCATACCTTTCATTTCTAATGTTAATGTACCAATCAACTGCTCAATCTGGACTTCCAGCGCACAAAGCGTTTCCGTACATTCCCTATACCCTGAACGTACATTGCTGAGAGCAGATGCTTTCTCCTTCCCAGGTGAGAGGGCATAAGCATATGCCATTGTTCTGACCTGTATTACCAAGAAAGGTGCATCATTAATAAATATAAAAAAAAAGAGTGAAATAGCAAGCTACTATGGACATAATTGTGAAAAATTAATTTCAATAATCATATCATGACTGTATCACATGCATTACAGTGCATTCACTGTGTGTGTGTGTGTGTGTCTATATATATATATATATATATATATATATATATATATATATATATATATATATATATATATATATATATATATATATTTTTTTTTTTTTTTTTTTTTTTTTTTTTTTTACCAGAATTCAGAGAGAGGGAATGATAAAGGGAAGAGGGGACAGAGAGAAAAGGAGAAGGAGAAGAAGGAGAAGGGAGAGAGAGAGAGGATAGAGAGATAGAGAGATAGAGATAGAGAGAGAGAGAGAGAGATAGAGAGAAGAGAGAGAGAGAGAGAGAGAGAGAGAGAGAGGGAGAGGGAGAGAGGGAGAGGAGAGGAGGGGAGAGGGAGAGGGAGAGGGAGAGGGAGAGGGAGAGGGAGAGGGGAGAGGGAGAGGGAAGAGAGGGAGAGGGAGAGGGAGAGGGAGAGGGAGAGGGAGAGGGGAGAGAGGGAGAAGAGAGGAGAGGGGAGGAGAGGGGAGAGAGGAGAGAGGAGAGAGGAGAGGGAGAGAGAGAGGGAGAGAGAGAGGGAGAGAGTCAGTCTTACCCCATCACGCAGTTTCTGGTGCAGCGTGTACTGGTCTTGCAAATCTTCCAGTTTACTCAGATGATACTCTATCCTCTTGAGGTAGCGCTCGGCTGCTTTTATTTGCTGTAAAGTTTTAAGGTACAGTCAGAGGTAGTTGTTATTTTCTGTTCTAAATAATGCTGCAGCAACAATTTTATATAAATTCAAGACAACTAACAAAGAATTATACAAAATCGCAAGATCAGGCTATTTACATATGAAGCACAACTCTTCACATACTTGTAAACTTTTATTCATAATTCTTTTGCCAGTGATAATATACTTCAATATTATGTTATAACAATTCTACTGTTCAACAGAAGTACATTGGTACTCTCTCAGCAACTTTCTTTCCCTAATTTTCTTGCATCAGAAATAGTCTCTCCACTCCTTGAGTAACCTTAACTTATTATTGATGAAAAATTCACAAACTATGTTTATTTAGGTTTACTAATACTAATACTTGTATGGAATTCATTACAAAGTTCTTATACTTGATGTGTAACATATCAACTTTAAGGTCTATCTGTGAAGAGCACTATTCCCCATTCAAAGTCAAATAAACAAATCTTTCTATCTGAGACTAACAAAAAATAAATAGTTCTGTGTACGGAGTGTGTTATGAGATTTCCTCTGAACAAAGTATTTATAAAATAAGCAAATGATGTTGATCTGGAGGTTAAATAAATATTAAAGTGAGCAATGGATAACCTGAAAATGTTACATCCATTAGATATATACTGAAAAAGCTTGATCCCCAAATGCCTATGCAAAACTATATCATACTGATAAAATGAAAACTGTATGGTCATGCTAAGAGGGTAATTGTCACTGAAGATTGTAGGATTTTTTTTCTTCTTTCCAAACAAGTGTGTTCTGTGAGTCTAATAAAAATATGTATTCATATTTCAGCAATTTTTTTTTTATAAAATTTGGCATTCTTAGAGGTTGTGCTAAAAGCAGCAAACAATAACTTCAACAAGCAATGTTCAATGAAGTAATGTCTCTACCATGCCCTCATATATAAGCCAGTTTTATTATGAAACTGCATTTAAGAGAGGCAGGCAAATTCATGGAGAGGTATGTAATCATATATGAATGGTATATGTATGAAGAAAGTGCATGCTATAAGAATTCTAGTATCTGAACATATCCAATGAAAATTTTATTCATATTTAACTACTCTGTGTCTTCATCGAGTATCAGTATTAAATTCTCTTTTGTCCATCAGCAGTATCATTTTATCATCCATTCCTCAAATGATACAAAACAGAAAAGTATCCTTAGAAGTCATGCATTTAACTGAATATCTCATGCACTTGGTATGTCATTCCAACTAAAAGACACAATTCATGCCTTAATTTAATACAGCCTGTTATCATTTCACAAAATGTCTGTAAACTAAAACATTTCATGCTGACATAAGAAAATAAAATCTACAATTCATGACTGCACTAACAATTACATTGTATTTATAACAAAACGGAAGGTCAGATCTTGTACATTCAAAAGCTTCAGCAACTTGAAAAGCTGAGGTAAAGGTTAATTTCCTGAAGATGCGACAACCAAAGGAACAAAAGGAGAAAAACATATCAGATTTCATTACTTGTTAGGCTCATGTGCAGAAAAAAGTAGCATAGCTGTAACTTATATGCAAATGTCTCAGTATAATCCGTGAGAATGAGAAAATAGAATAGAACACGTTGTGCAAATATTTGAACATTTCAAGGCTTCCTTTATTTCTGAGAAATCTCCCTATCACTCCCTTTTATTCAGTGATCTATTACCAGCAAGTTCTACTTACAACAGTTGAAAAAAGAAAGAAAAAAAAAAAAAACTGTAAACCCCATAATGGAAATTGCTCCTCCTGTTAAGGATCAGGAATGCATTACCATGTTTAAAGGTGTGTTTTATCCTTCACTTCTTTACGTACATGTCTAATACAACTAAAACATCCCATGATGGACTGTACTGTAACCAGGTCTACCCTTCAAACAGTTCCCTTCACAGTATCCCTTGAATCTGGAAAATCGCTAGTAAACCAATGTGAAGATTAGTCAATAAAATGTCTCACACTGTCAACATCTACATAAAGGTGACAATCATGCTTTCCGGCTTGGAATGTCAAAGTGATTTTCAGAAATTGCATGTCTTGTATGCAGTCATTCCTAAAAGTACCGAGCATAGATCATGCAATTTTATCACGTCTTACCTTTTCAACCTCATACAACCGACCCTGTGACTGTCAAAGGGAAAAAAAAATGTCAACCATTAGCCTGTCTTCTGTAAAAAGTACTGTGTCAATACTGTCTACCTGTAAGAGAGCAATAAGTTTGCAGTGCATGGTGAAATAGGAAATAATTTGTTTGTGTGTGTGGGAGAGAGTGAGAGTGAGAGTGAGTGAGTATGAGAGAAAGATAAGAGAGATGAAAGAGATAGAAAGAAAAACAGAAAAAAGAAAAAAAGAAAAGAAAAAAAGAAAAGAAAAAGAAAGAAAAAAAAAAGAAAAAAAAATATATACATATATATATATATATATATATATATATATATATATATATATAGTATAATATATATTATGAGAAGAGAGAGAGAGAGAGAGAGAGAGGAAGAGAGGAGAGACGAGGAGAGAGAGAGAGAGAGAGAGAGAAGAAGAGAGAGAGAGAGGAGAGGAGGGAGAGGGAGAGAGAGAGAGGAGAGAGGAGAGAGGAAGAGAGGAGAGAGGAGAGAGGAGAGAGGAGAGAGGGGAG